CAGACTCTTCGTCTTTATCGCTCCGAATTTTTCAGCGGTGATCCTTGCCCGCCGCACCGTAAATTACGGGGTGATTGATGAATACCCACTAGGACTAAGATGACTTCCTGGAGAGAACGGGACTCGCGAATCACGACATGTATCATGACCACACGATCCTTTAGACGATGCGGCGTCAGTTCTAAATTTTCCGATTTCCGAAACACCGGAATGACCACCTGGAGTCCTCCCAATAGCACTCTCTGCACTGCTGGGTTGCTCGAATACGTACGGTCTGTCTAGATACATATTCACTCACCAACGGAAGCAGAGAATGGTTTTGCCCAAGCATTGACCTACAACCTCGGATCGACCATCACGCGGGTCATTTATGGACTTATGATACACATCAAACCGAACCCGCCATTCAGTAAAATCAATCCATTCAATTTCGCATAGTAGTTACATATGAGTCCATCATAGCCCAATTGCCAGCGCAAGTAAAGCATCGCAAACTGAAACTGGGGCAGAGCGAAGCACATGGAGTTTAGATCGGCGTCCACGGATGGCTCTCTTTCTCTTCCCTTACTCGCAACCCTCTCTCCCGTGCCACCCGGTCCAGCTCCCCAATTGGCCAAGTCAAAAAAAGGTGATATCGTATAAAAAGACCACTGTTGTTGTCCCGACAAACCCACCAGAGGTCCACCCATCTCTAGAACCTTCCTCCCTTGCTTTCTCAAAAATCGTCCATCATGTTCTCCAAATTCGCTTTGCTCGCTGTGGCTGCTCTCGCTGGAACTGCTGCTGCTGAACGTCACACCATTACGATGATCAACAGGTGCGTAACAACCACTACTTAGTTGTGTAAAGTTCCACTGACGACCTCCTTACCCTGTTACATTTGATGGCTCATCTCCCGGCTCATTCCGTGTTTTCATTCATACGTCCTTGCTTTCAAAAGATGCGGTCGCGGTACTCCTACCCTCGTTCGTCAAGGCAATATCGTGTCCACGGGTGCTCCATATACCGCCAACGAGGCTATCCCTGCTACGATTGCGTACGTATTCTTTGTGTTCTTTTCCGGGCGCTGTCCGAACCCCGTTCTCGCTTTGGCTAATATTTACTTCAATTTTTTAGATTCCTTCAAACCGGAGAATGTGATCGGCTTAACGGCTGTAAGTTTCCATTGATCTACGATCTGCTCTCCGCGGTCGCCCTTTTCTAACAACTTTTTGCTTTTTCCCGACTAGCCGGATGCATGACTTGCGAGGTTCGTACTTGATAATCAGAAAACAAGTAAAAGGGATTCCTTTGTGCTGATTGTTGAACCCTCTCTCCCCCCCACGTAAACAGCTCACTTTGAAGAACCCCGACCCAAATGCACCAGGATCCGGTTCGAGCGTTGACATCTCCATGATCCCTCCGTCAGTTTCCTTCCTTTCTCAAAGAAACCGCCGACAAAGGAAACCCTAAACTAACCCACCCCATATTTCGTTTCTCGTTTCAGTCTGAAATTCAACGTTCCCATTTCATTCCAATACACCGGTGGCTGCTCTAACGGTGCTTCTTGTACGCGTCTCTTGTCCCTTGTCAAATTACAGAACACTCAACCTTTTTTTTCTTAGGCCCCGACCCCAACTGCCACGACGCTTTCCGTACACCCACTGATTACTTTGCGCAGAGGGCATGCCAGGCCAACGATGTGAGAGTTTTTGTATTTTTCTTCCTCGGTGTATCGTTCGTTGCTGATCATTTTCATGATCTAGGTCAATTTGCAGATCACTTTCTGCTGAGGGAGATCTAATGCGTATGACCTTTTTCCCGGAGAGGCTTAGGACGTAACTACTTACATAGTGGTGTGGTAGCTTGAATAAATGATATTACAACTCATACACCGAAAACCCAGGCTCTCTTTCTCCTACCTCACGAACATCAGTGTCGCAAAAAGGGGTGATTGCATTGTAAGGGTTCGAAAATCGAACGAGAAACAATATTTCAGTACATAGTCAGTGCAACTAATTCGCGTGAGCCACGTGAATTTACTTTGGATTGTTTCATAATTCAAATATACATTACATCTTTACGTCCAAAGAAGGAAAATGCGGAATTATAACAATCACTAGGTCGATTATGAAGCTAAAATATGATTTTGCAGAGAGACCGACTTCAGAATACGTAGACACCTTTTAACACTCTCCGTCAACATTAACTAGGCAACCAGGGAGGACCAACTCGATCAAACACATACCAAGTCCATCAAAACAACGTAGCATAAACAGCCGCAACAGTCCCAGCCAACGGAATCACCCCTCTCACCAAATTCAACGTTATCCACTTCTCCACCAACTTCTCCGTCTCGTTCGTCCTCGCCAGCGCAGATTCAGCCGGTGAATCAACAGCTTTCCGGATCAACGCCTCATTCGTAGGCTTCATAGCAAATACCGTCCACGGTACAATCCCAATCGTCAACGCTCCAGCCAACACATACAGCTTCGTCAACGAATTTGAGCTTGCAAGTCGAGATTCTACCGCGTAAACTTTCCAAGCGAGATAAAAGTGCGCCAGGGAAGTGATCAGACTGAGAGGTGGCATGAGAGATGCACCTCTAGTGTAGAGGTTTTTCCATTGGATAGCTGCATGAGTGGGAGAGAAGAAGCTGGTTGGGGTTAGGAGGACTGGTGCTGAGATGGTTGAGATGGAGATGATGGAACCGGATATGAAGGCTGAGCCTGAGATTCCGATGGCTTGTGCGATGCGAATGCCTGTTCCAGTCGACATGGATGGTAAGTGGGGTGATGGTGGACGTAGCGTATCTAGTATTTATACGTAAGAAAAAGTTCTCGGGAGGGACGCGTAATTTGCGCGATGGTGATGGCCGGTGTTGAACGTCATCGATGTCATCCTCCGTCACGCGTCACCTCTGACATGATTCCAGATCCGAATCTAATCTAATCTACTACCTGAACTGAGCCTACCCGCGTTCCAGCCGTGCAGCTATCCTTCTGCGCGTACGAAAGCTCCAAGCGACTGGGGGTACCGCCCTCATATCTCTATTCAATTATGGTACAGGCCTAATACATGATTACAGAATTTATATCCTTCACGAAAGATACTTCTCAACAAGCTCCTCAATCCTCGAATCAACCTTTCCAAGCACATCTAACGTCTCATCCCAAACCTTCTTCTCCAACTTTTGACCCACTTCACCAAGAATAAAATCACTACACTCCGTCACTTTCATAAACGAAACATAACCCCCTCTAACTTCCTCTTCTCTATCCCTCTGTCCAATCGCAGCATACAAAAGTTGCCTAGACCCTTCCTCAGCCGTGAACGCGAGCTCGTCTTCCATTTTTTTGTAATCTTCTGCATATTCTCCTGGTGCGCTTCGACGGAGTTCGGATAGACAGAAGCCGGGGTTGACAGCGCAGCAAGTGACGGTTGGAGAGGAAGCGGGGAGGTGGGCTTGGAGTTGGCGGATGAACATGGTTGCGAGGACTGTAAAAAAAAAGAAATGAAAAAGGATAGCAGCAAGGTTAGCTCGAGGGGGGGGGGAGGGATTTCTCAAAGAGGGAAACTCACTCTTCGATTCCATGTAACGCTGATCTCCCATAATACCATCCCGTAGAGAATACTCTTTCGTCGTCAAGAATTCCAAAGTGTTCGGTGCTTCGATAGCTTCATCGCATATGGTAGTCCAGTAATGCGTATCGCTAGAAACTAGTACAAGTCGAGGGTTGACGCCAAACCTTTTGGCAGTTTCAAGCATCTTGGGGATGTGGTACATGGCGTGAAGTCCAAAGCTGAAGTGGTTGACTTGAAGACTGCGCAAAGGGGAAGAATTAGCAAAACGAAAAAAAAACGTAAATGGCAGGGGAGGTCGTAAACGCACACATTTTCCCAACCATCCTTAGTCACCTCGTAGTCGTAGGAAGTGAGTGCGGCATTCTCAACGAGAATATCTAACCGATCGAGCGCGTCAATCTTTTCCTTGGTTGCTTTGACGGATTCAAAAGATGAGTAGTCCATCGTCCACAGCTCGACGTTCTGGAAGCCGGTTTCTTTCTTGAGCCCTAGGAGAGATGCGTTCAGTTACACCGTTATAATCCCTAGGTATAAGAAAAAACAACGCACTTTCAACCGAAGGCATACCTCTCGCCTCGCTCCTACTCATCATGATCAACTTCTTTGGTCCTCGGATAGCGAAATGTTTTGCGGCTTCGTATCCTATACCGGTATTGGCACCTGTGACGATGACGACTTCACCATCCAGAGACACGCCCTCGACGGGTGCTGGCATGCCACGGCGTTGGTCTTGCTTGAACTGTTCGAAGCTGACGTATCCCATTGTAGTGAAGGGTGCTTTCTCGAGGACAGGTAGAGTCGAAGGCAGAAGAGGAAACCTAGGGTTTACGTTGAAAACCTAGGAGAAAGATCCGGGGGATCCTCAGTTTTGCTTCGAAAGTTTTATAACTTCCTTCTACACAGTTCGGCCGGGTAAGTAATAAAATCTTTTTAAAAAAACCCCAAGCACAAAAGTGAGAAACGAAACAGGAGAACATGTTTACTACTCACCGCAAACCAAAACATTTCACAGAGCGTAGATGGAGCGTAGCCCAAGTAAACATCATTCATTTCCTGCGAGTTTTCTGGGCTACCATCTGTCGTTGATTGACGTTGGCTTCAAGTTGGAATGTAGTTGGCCAGGCTTTTTGATCCCCGGTTTAGCTTCGAGATTCGTCGAAAATAGCGACAACGGACGGAATTAAAAAAAAAAAAGCGAAGATTAGAGTCATGGCAGCACGGCGTAAACCGGTGTTTCGCCGAGTACAACGAACCTCGGAGTCGGACTTTGTACCTGTGCCTCGGCCGACGTTCTGCGTCATTCAGTGCTCCTTGAACACCTCAGCGCTCAGCAGTTAGTGTTGTGAGATGTAGAGTGGTTCTGACTGGAAAGAGGATATTCCAAAGAAAAAGAAAAATTGGACCGATATCACAAAAGATGTTCGTGAGATGCATATAGCCCACCGCGAGGGTCGAACTCGCAGCCTTCAGATTGCCAATAATCTTAGGATCAGCGTCCAAGACCATAAGAGTCTGACGCTCTATCCGATTGAGCTAGGCGGGCAATACAGACAAGTTCATTATAAGACTCCAACTGAGAACAATTATTCCCCATGAATCTGTGTTTTCTTCTTCCACCATCAAGCTTAAATATTTAGTACTCGATCCTGATCATGCAATGAGCCACTGCCATGAGCCCTGTAAAATCAAAATTCGTCCGTTACGGGATAAAGACTTTAATACGACTCGATTCGAGTAGTTCCAGACACTACAGAGTGAAGGCGTCGATCATTTCACAAGCACGCCACGCCAACGAATATAAGGAAAGAACTCAAAATTTGTGAATTCGGAGTGAGGTGACCTCGGAGGGGCGTCCAGAGGCCGGGGGTGGCTATCATAAAGTTGTATCTAGTACCCAGTCAACATCATATCCTCCGACGAGTCAATCTGGAGGCTATGTGATAACAACCCTCGAGATACGAATTGAAAAATGATTTTCTGCTCAGAACGACCCGCCGGGAAAGGTAGGAAGGTACATACATATATGCACGCAGCGGCATGAAATTTAAACTAATGCATATGCCTTCCGAGGGCCCAGGTCCCAGGTCGACTTATAGTTCAGGCCGCAATGAACTTTGAGAGTTCGGCTGAAGACGTTTCATAGGGGCCTTCTGAAATATGCTGCTTCAATTGAAGCGCCCATCGGTAGTGACAATAAAAAAAAACCACACAACTCCAAGCACTGGCAAAGGTGCGGTAATCTCAAAGTCAGACAAGGAAGGACGTTGTTTTACAACAAATCTAAATTTTCCTGATATTGCAAAAAAAGGTATATAGTACGACAGTAGAAAGACGTAGTATGCAGACGGAGGACCGGATGAGGGTACCAGTATTAAAGAGTGACAAAAAAAAAAGCCCAGAAGTAGTAGTCTACAAGTATAATTATAACATATAGAAACAAGAAAGGAGAAAAATCTATAAATACCAGCACGACTCGGAGTTGACCTCTTAGAATTAAGTTACATAAATTACCTCAGAAAAGAAAAACGAGTGGGCCCGCGGAGGAGGAACCAAACCTTTCTATCCACCGGCAGGCTTGACATCGGACGGAAGAGCGTTATACTTATCACAGAGCTCTCCCCACGCAGCTATAAGACGCATAAGCGTTCAAAACTCAATCATTTGCGAAAAAAAAACAAAAAAAAAACACGAACCAGGCGGCTTAATATCCGATCGCGTGGCGTTCATGCCTTCAGCGAAAATAACACCCATACCAGTAACCAAATGCCAATCAATATGACAATGCAAAAACCAAGGACCAGGATTATCAGTCCTAAATCGGATCGTAACGTTGTCAGTCTCCGTCCCAGTATTGACGACATCACGATGAGGAGGGTTGACATAATTGTACTCCTTGCTTCCAGCAACTCGAACGACATCAAAAGAGTGTCCGTGCAAGTGCATCGGGTGTTCAACAGCGAGAATACCTCCGGACATGGACAGCTCAATGGAAGAGTTCATAGGGAGAGCGTAGAGCGTTCCACCCGGCATGATATCGGAAGGTTTAGTAACACCAGAGAGAATTTGGAGGAGAACAGGGGAAGAAGGAGCCGCGAATTTTTGACCGTTGACGAGGAAATTAGGAACGGATTCGTTGAATCCAAATTGGAGATGGAGCGCGTAATCAACTCCTCCGAGACGAGGTTCACCTGGGACTTGTCGGGTTTCCAAGGGCTATGTAGAGGTGAAATGGTCAGCGATCCGCAGTCAGAAATTGATTTTGATCGGAGAAAACTTACCGAGAGTCTCTGTTCCTTCAAGGGGTTAGTGGTGACGATATCGTCCTCCAACTGTTCAGCCGGTTCCTCGTCGGGTGCACCTTCGTAACGGAGAATGGCAGAGTTCATCCCGTTTATGAAGCTCTGTTCCAAACCGGCATTGGGTTTAGACCGGATCCAGTAGTTGCCGACGGGTTTGTTGGCGTTGAGGACAAAAGAATAGCGTTGGCCGGCGTAAACCCTCATATTGTCAACCGTAAGTTTGTTGTGGGGAGTGCCGTCAACTTCAATGAGATCCATATCGTGTTGGTCAATGAAGAACCTGTACATGGAATCACAGGCCATATTGATCAGACGGAAGCGGTATCTGTCAACGTTAATAGTAAATGATGATGTCCAACAACCAAACGGGTCAAATGATGGGGGGTTTAAATTAGACTTACCGTTTTCCTTGCTGAACTGTGATAACCGCCAACTTGGTGTCTTTCGTATCGACACCACGGTAGTGCCTACCAACACCGTTGATGAGTGCTGAGTCGGGGATACCGAAACTGATAGTGGCCGAGATTGTTTTCGAGAGCAAGTGGTACCAATCGGTGAGTGTGATGATGGTAGATTCTAGGTAAAGGCGATGTTGAAAATCCGAAGACGACGCGAAATGAGCAACTCACCGTCATCCACATCGTAGAGGTCCTTATGGGGATCGTTATCGTCGTAAACGATGAAAGGACCTCGTAATCCATCACAGTACTGGGAGGCTGTAAGACCAAGTTAGCATCATGATGAGAAGGTCCTGGTGGCTAGACAACTCACAAAGATGGGAGTGGTACCAGAACGTCCCCGCGTGATGGGCCTTGAATTCGTACACGAAACTAGCATTGGGTGCGATAGGACACTGGGTAACAGAGGCAGTGCCATCAGCCCAGTTCGTGTAGTCTTGGGTCAAGCCGTGCCAATGCTACAAACCCACCGAATAGTTATGAGTCTCCGAGGAAATTCTGGAGGGTAAAAATGAAAAGACTTACAACGGTGGTGGTGCGTTCGAAATCAGGATCATCCAACTGATTGATGACATTGATCTTAAAGTCATCATTCTAGAGATGAAATCGAAAAAGGAAACAAGTGAGCAAAAGAGACAGTCGGACGTAAAGCAAAAGCTGCGCGCACCACTTTTCCAGTGATAGTCGGGCCAACGAAACTCCCGTTGACTGTGACACCCATCCTTTTGAAGCTATCCGGGCTCACGACGGAGTTGGTCAAAACCAAGGAGGTTACTGGACCAACAGCGCGCACAACGGCGGCACCTGAAAGTACGATAGGAAGAACCACTCGTGTGTTGAACCCAACCATTTTTCTCTTTTTTGCCTCAAGGACCGTCAACCACAAAAACGAATCCGAGAAAGTTGGAGTTTGTTGGAAAACTGAAATTTCAAAAAAAACAGCTGCTGACTTTTATAATCAAGCATCCCTGATTGTCTCAAACCTCTAGATTTGGCCATCCCTAGCTCTGGATCGCCCTAAAGGCAATTTTTAGCGCTATCGCTAACCGTTTCATGATTCCCCGCCGTTTGCCCTGATCTAGAGGGCGATGGAAGTACCCCAGGTCAGAGGGTAGCGTAGGTAGATCGCCTTTGAAACACTGCGGCCGACGCTTTAGATATGCAGCGTGCCTGATGAAAAGTCGGAGGATGGGTGAATAGAGTCTCGGGCGAGGGAGTGCAGGACAGCAACGACCTAGAAAACTCGAGAACATAGCGCTCGGCTTCAGCGGCTAAGAGGAAGGAGATCAAAAACTCCGAGTTGGCAGACCGACTTTTTGTGATATACACCGAGCATGAAATGATGACGCAGGGCTATTATGGCGTATCCTTTCGCTCCTCCTCTACACGGCCGATATAGAACGTTTCACGAGTTGATTATACTTGAATATAGAGTCGGGCCTTTCCAAATTTGGTCAAATCCCGAGGTTCCGACCATCTAAAAAGCACAACGATGTCGAGTGGCACTGTGGCACCGCCATACGACTCTATTTATACAAGCGACATAAGTACCGTGTGGGGTCTTGGCTCCAAATCCTTACCGGAGACCAAGAAAATCATAAAACTGACATATTGCTATGTTGGAACCTTTCACGAATAGTCCCATTGCTGGTGGCTTGAGCGCAATTCTACGTCCGAGCTCTCATCGAGCTCTCGTCCTTAACGGATGTACATGTACGGTTGAGAGGTAACTAGGGATTTGTCTCTGGTGATGAGTCAATAGCTGGAGCCCGTTAAATATTTGATGACTCTTGGAGGGCCTTGGGGGTGCCTGGTGCCGGTTGAGTAAGAGGGTTCTAGTTTCCACTCCAAGCGCAACACTACGTTAGATTTCTTGAAGATCTGCCGTCTTGAAATTGCTCGAGGCTTTACGCGCCGTACGGTTGTTGGGGTCCGCCATAGACTGTTATGAAGATCTATATACAGGTAAACGTCAACGAACATGAGGAGTCAACATGAACTCGCACTCGGTGACTAGATATTGATATCCGTCTCCAGCGTTTTCCCCAAATTGAAGACTTGAGCGATTTCCAATCGACAATCAATGATCCTCTATGTACTCCTCGAGATTCGTGTTTGAACGTCGCTGGAAATTTGAAATTTGAGCCGGCGGCCAGTGCTGAGCCTCTCGAATGTCGATTTGGCGATGGTATTTTGAAAGGTTCATTACTTGATGAGCTAAATTGCGAAGGTTGTAATGCTTTTGGTCCCCATTCCACCACGCAGCGAACGTCCTATAATGGCTTTGAACAAGTTATAGGCTGACATAGCAAAGAGCGTGAATTGTACTTACTTACCAGTTGGTAGGCGAGCTTTTTGAAAGTACGTACGTCCCCTCATGTTTCGTTATGTCTGAAGGTCAGGTTGACAGTTTGTAAGCCAACCGTCGTGAGCTGTACTCTTGAGTGAGGTAAATGAAAAAGGCTTTTGCACACGCGAAACAGTCCGAATTCGACCAGGAAGCATTGGAAATGTAAGTTATGACATGTAAGGAGGAGAGAGAAAAGATCCTAGGAGCTTGAGAAATTTGATGTCGAGGTGGGTCCGAGTCAAGGTCGGGTCCCGGAAATTGAGTGATACCCGCATACCGCCTGCCGATTGGTTGGCGCTCTCGTGGTCAGACCGGTCACCTTGCTCTTTTTAAACTTCCACCCATGGATTCCAATGTTCACCACAATATCCCGCTTTCTCATCCAGAAACATGTTGGATCGCGACAGAACCTCAATTTTCCATACCGTGGCTTATC